AGCTGGTAGAATCGGGGTCTGTTATGTGACCTTTTCTCTGAGCTTGCAGAAGCCGTTCAGCTGTTCTGCTGCTTTGCAGTAATATTTCCATTTTCCTCTGCCGCTGCTGCCATAGTGGCTATCTGAAGCAAACAACAATGAAGCAAAATTGCTTTGTCTTTAATCAGTTGTTCACAGGTTCTTGCATTTCCATTATGCACAAAGGTTAACAGTTTTTTTGTTGTTGTTTTTGTCTCTTTTGTGAAACCTTACATAAACATTTAAAGCATTTCAAAAACAATTTGACTTAAAAGTGAACTTATTGCAATGAATTTACTGGTGCATTAAAAACTTGCTGTACTATTTGCAAGCCTTCAAAGGATCAACAGACTGCTTTTATTTTAGTGCTTTAATTAAAAAAATATTTCTTTCATCTAATAAAAACTCCACCTTTTCACCCTGCATGAAATGTGAAAGCCATAGTACTGACATGACGACAGTTATCACTCAGTGGCACCCAACAGTTCATGAGCTAACACAGCCTTCACCAACTTTTTTCACTACTGCAGACGGTAGCTGAGACAGACTACTAAACTTTAAAACTGAAGCCAAATTGTTATTCAGAGGTGTCAGAATGATTTCATTATTTTAATTAAGTGCTGCTAATTGTATACAGACATTATAATAAAATATAATCTTTTAACTTCAAGGGGAAGGAGGCTGAACAAAGTTCTTTGTTTGCTATGTTTGAAAAAGTCTTTTGAAAGGCAGAAATCTTGTTTTAGACACTTTGATGATGAACAGTTTGGGTTGTTGTTCTCACCATTTCAAAGATGCTGGCAGGTCAAAATGTTGAGTGTCTCTTAAACTTGCATGGAGGAACAAATACCACTGTGTTTAGAAGAGCCATAGCTTTCACTTTATTATAGTTTAATGAATTTTCAACTGACTAAAATGGTTTTGCCATAATGAAAGTATGTGTGCAGGGACTGAGTGGGTCCTAGCTTTCCTCGGCACCAGTGCTTGCTTTGCATTTTGGCTGTAGCTCAGGAGGTAGAGCAGGTCATCTAATCAAAGGTTAGTGGTTTGCATCTTTGGCTAGTTGCTCATTCCCTTTACCAAATCTAAAAATGGAACATACCAAAGAAAGCAGTCGCTCTCCTTTTATCCCACACAGCGCTGTCATAAAGCTCCTCGTCTGTCAATTAATATGTGCATACATCCTTTACATGACTGGTAGCTGTCTCCACTGTGTGAGTATTTCTGTTTCCTGCTAACAGTGACTGAATTAGACGGACAAAGCTGAGCAGCATTTTTTCTGGTGGTTTGCCCACGTGCATTGCAGCCTTTCATGGCAAACCGATGGGAGAAGTGTGATGTAGAGAAGAGTGTGAAAATGTTGTTAATAACTTACTTTTTATCAAGGAAAGCTCTGATAATGATGGAGAGGAGAAGGCAGTTCTGACATGTCCTGTCTAATAAACAGGCTGACCAGGTCGCCACGTGTATTTTTACATTCCCTGTAAAGAACTTTGTAATAGATTCCTGACTTTAACAGTACTATAAATAAATGTTACGTTTTTACTTTACTAGGTGCAGGCTCACCGAGCACTTTCAGATTAGCATCTATGAAACATGTAAACTGCTTTGCCAACAGTCCTTTTTCATTCAGAGTGGAAGAAACTACAAGCAGAGGAACAACCTTTGAGGTAGGCTCGAGCGGGGCAACAGTCTTTAAAAACTGGGGCCATTTCTCAATATGCATACTCGTGTGTACTCGTGTGTACCTGCACTATAGTGGACTTGTGATACATCATCATTTATAGACAAAGTACTGTTCCCATTCAAAGTACGCATCAACTTAACTACGCTCAGAATTGTGTTCATGGTGCACTTACACGGTGACTTACATGGAGCCAAATATCCCAGAATGCATTTCATCCAGAACTCAAATGCAGCAGTTGGCAGACAAGAGTGACTAAAAAATTTTAAAGCCTTACTTGCAGAGCTGTCAGTATAAATGAATTAATTTTAATGTTGGGAATATTTAAACTCAGCAGGAAACATTTTCTCCGGGAGCAGAAACTGCATGTTGATGCGTGGAGATCCTGAAGGCTGCTCCAAAAATGATAAAATGATATTTTAGATATTTGCTCTGTTCTCTCCAAACCCGAGCAGACATCTATTTTAATTTATTAATATCTACTGACATAAAAATAAAAGCGTTTTAACATCAGACCTGTTTGCTTTTTATTCAATAAGCAGCGTGAGCTGTCCATACATATATGCTATTTTTAATAGGAGTTAAGTTTGTGATGTCATCGAGTACGCTTGAATGTAGAATGATCGCGCTGCGTTCTCGGGAATTTCAGAGTCCCGTGTAAACTTATAAAGTACAGACTAGCAAGAAGGCAAGTACTTGTGTTTAGCTTTTCAGAGTTGCTAGGTCAGGTATTTGGCCAGCAGGTTCAGAATGAAGCACACAATGAGCAGTTTCAATATGAAGTACACGTAGAAAAAGTTCAGGTTGTATTAAAGAAGCAACAAAAAACTCAGTCTCTAACTTTACAAGCTGGTAACCAAAAAACTCTGTTTCACATTTCATATGCTGAAAAACACAAGGATTAGTGTTTGAACAAGCAAGTTGGGGAGAAAAGCAAATTCCGTCTTACTCACTGAGGAGGATGTCATAGAGACCTGACAAACACGAATGTGGAAACCAGCTTAGGTGGAGGCAGGGATGGAAGCTCTGGCTGGTGCTGCTTCTTTTGTGTTGGATATTCCACCTTCATGAGTAGGACAGTTAAACACTGGCTAGCAGGGAGACAGGTGAGTCTGAGGTGGAGCAGCAAGGAGCTGGCTGATGAGGAGTAGTCGGGCAGAAAGAGTGAGAATTATGAAATTTCAATTCAATTTTATTTATACAGCGTCAAATCACAACAACAGTCGCCTCAAAGTGCTTTGTACTGTAAGGTAGACCCTACAATAATACATACAGAGGAAAAAAAACAACATATGACCCCAACAAGCAAGCACTTTGGTGACAATGGGAAGGAAAAACTCCCTTTTAACAGGAAGAAACCTGCAGCAGAAAGCCTGCAGACTGCAGAGGTGTGGAGTTCAGGACAGAAGCCGTGAGAGGACGGATGGTGACAATGACTAGGTCCCTTAGCCATGTGTGCAGCACCTCCAATAGTCTGGGATTCTCTGGGCACATGTCAGAAAGAGTCTTTTGGAGTCTCACATTCTCACAGTGCAGAAACTGCTCCAGCAGGCTGATGTCTGATGATGATGGTCATCATGTAGCTCTGTGTTACAAGCAGGTTTCAGACCCAAATGCAGAACTCAAGACCCAGAAGTGGACCAAAAAACTAGAGGTTCATGAGATAACATGGGAATAGAAACAGGTGGGAACACAACTGAAACTTGTGGTGGAAACAGGACAAAGGAAGCAAAAGTAAACACAGCTCCCACGAGACAAATGACTGATAGAATACAGTAGAAAGTAACTAAATGTGGAATCAAAGATGACAACCTGACAAACCACGGGAAACACAGAGGAACCACGATAACTTAAACAAGGGATAGAATACAGTCAATGTCATGGTTTCTTGTATTTGGTGTCATTTTGTATTATGGTTTATGTTTAAGCTTCGTTTTTCATTCTTGGGTTTATTCTGTGTTTTAGTTTCCCCTTGTCTCTTTGTTCTCTGTGTCCTTCTCTTGTGTGTGTCTTTGCCTGGGTCTCACAGTGTGTGTCACTTCCTGCTTTATTTTGAAGCTACCTCGTCTCATGTGTGACATTCAGTTTTGCTTCTATCCCATTAGTCAGATTTGTTCCTGGTGTTTCCACCTGCTGCCCATCCTCTCGTTATCCCGTGTATTTAAGTCTTCAGTTTGTCTCTGTTGTCACGTCATCAGTCTTCCTGCCATGTTTCCCCCTGTGCTGTGTGCTTCATGTTCTGTGGCTTAGTTTCCACACCAGGGGTTTATTGGCCAGTACTTTCAGTTTGTAGCTTTCAGCAATAAAGCTGTTTGAGTTCATGTTCCATCTCTGCATTTTGGTCCGCCCAAAAAGCAGAACCACAATAAGTAAAACCAAGAAGGCCCAAACACTAAACACATGTGAAAACCAACAAATCATCACTATCTAGAATAATTGCTTAACACTGAGAAATTCACATAACTCAACATAAAGTGAAACAAGACAAAACACAGATACTGGAACAGACAAAGCCTTTGAATATGGATATAAAGAGAAACAGTATAACCTAATGATGGCCTCCTTTACTCTTTGGACCTTTTATTATTCTAGCACAAACACCTTTTTCTCCCCAAGTCTGTGTCATTTATCACGAAACACTGAGGGGAGAGTTCCCACATGGCACTGCTTGTCAGTCAATTGTCCAATTACTGTTGAGCCTCTGAAAATTGTGGACTTTCTATAAAAATGGTGGTTACTCCTAAAGGCTTAATGGTTTGTTTAACCTCTTGAATTAAAGCAGAAACTCTCCACTTAAAAAACCCCAAACAGAAATGATGTTGCTCTTTGAGGGAAAAGAAAGAAATAAAAGTTCATAGATGATATTGTCCTGGCTCATGTTTGGTGTAAACTTGGATTCTGTTGTTATTTAAAGTTGTGGGTTGTGCAGCTTGAACTACTCTTATGTGGACTGTGTCAGAAAACAGTTTGAGAACCACAGGTTTAAAACAGAGTTTCTGTTTTTCTCATAGTTCACAGGCGACTGAGCGGGCACCATGGAGCTTATTGTGAACTGTAAATCACTCCAAACTACTCTAGCGTGTTGCTATATAATCTATCCTGGCGTGGCGAACTTGAATCTGCACAGAACAAGTTCACAGAAGCTAGCAGATCCTCTAAACGAGATCATTGTGGTGCGTTGTTTTGAGCAGCAGTCAGCGGGCACTCAGTATACCCGCTGTGTGACTTTGCGTCCTGGCTTTGCGCACCTAAAAATACCCCTGTCCAAGTACACGGATCAAAGGGGGTAGCAACACTGGCGAATCCCGCCCCGCCATTTAACCTAAAACCTCTCAGAGGAGGAGCATGCAGTGTGAGCAAAGAGCCGGCGACTTCCAGAGTTGTACAGAGGAGCGGGAGACTGGTTCGGGTTACAGGGACTGTCCTGTAGCACATAGTGGGATCGCTCTGAAGTAGCGAATGGGACAAACGGAGCCGAACACAAAGGAGTAAGACAGCGGAAGACTCGGACACGGAATGTTTCGGTTTTGAAGGTTTATGTAATTACTCATATGAGTGCAGCCAGATTGGTAAAGAACGGCAGAGTTTACTCAGTATAAACAGCCTCCTGCAAAGTTACAGATCGCCAGGATTCTTTCTGCGCAACTGTACACCTGATGAGCTTGGGGATTGTTGGGTGCATAGAGCCACACTCACATGTCTGAAATGGAACAGGAAAAGAAGTGGGGAGTCGCTGGTAAACCAGGTGAAAAGAGGCGCGTTGGCTTGAAGCAGCCGCTGTGGAGAGATTTGTCTTGCGTGACGTTTTGCATCGCGGTGTCCGTGCTGTCTGTTGGAGTTTGGATCGTAGTGTTTGTGCGGACGTCGGAGCTGCAGTCCAGGATAGTAAGTCTGGAACAGCAGCGGCTTTCTGCGTGGATGCTGTCCGTGGAACAGGTGGAGCCCGTCATCCTGGGTCGTCTCGACCAGATCCTGGAAGAAGTAAGAGTCGCTTAAAATGATGAAAAGATTTTTTTTTTTTAATGATAAACAGAAATGTTTTTGCGCTGCCCCCCACCACACACAATTAATTTCTTTTGGAAAATAATTTTAGACGATTCTCTCTACAGCTGGTGATATAAGTGTATTGGTGTTTTCTGGATGCAGAGATCACAGAGGTAATAGTAGAGACTGTCATGATAAAGCATCAGTGAATCTCTCATTTAAGTATAGATATATGTATTTCCAGCGCTCTTATTCAAAGAGATGCTCCATTGCTCTTAAACAAAGCACTGTGGCATCTCCAAAGTACAACATTAAGAAGTTGCACAGGTGTTACATGCGTTTATCTTCTCTGAGATAACAGTGTGAAGGGCTCTCGGTGGCTGTTCACATCTGTTGCTTCTAAAGTTGCCCTCAGCGCTGCCCTCCAATTGATCACAGCTACACCAACAAGCACCTAACAGCCTGCACGGTGTTTAAAGATCCACAGGGAGCCGACTTTCCCTTCCTCTGTTTGCTGTAGCCCGGCTTTTAACACCCCCCCCCCCCCACACACACACACACACATACACACACTCACTCCTCGACCCCTTTCACTAGGGCCAGCATAATGCATTTAACAGGAGGAAAAATGAGCACGTGGTGGTTAGTGCAGAGCTTGCTTGCAGTCTCAAACCTGAAGTCAGTCATTCACCTAAACCCTTATACCTCAGTCAAAGGAGGCAGACTACATGTACAAGTGTCCCGTAGACCACCAGCTACTCAGACAGTATTTTATATTAATCATGTCTGTCAGTGATGGTCATCAGTTAGCACAACAATAGCTGGAATTTAGGCTGTGTGCTTTTCTTGCTAAAGATGGATGTCAGTCTTAGTCCAAATATAGCCCAGGGAGGGTGTCAAATTCTGGAGCCACGGTACTTTTGAAAAGAAATCTTGGGATTACAAAATGACATAGAAAGCCAGTGATTTTACTTGGGTTTATGGCTACTTTGATAGAAACTTTGTATAAATGCAAACGTTTATTTCCTCTGAGCAAATGATAACGTTATTAAATGGTATAAATCTAAAAGTAGTTTATTTCTTTGCAGTGACAGTTTGAGGTGTAGGGCCTACTAACATATGAGTGAAAACAAAACAAACAATAATAAAAAGACAAAGTGAAGTTTTACGGCCAGTTGGGGCCATTCAAAGGTCCAGTTTCAGTGCCTGTGCCTCCAGGGGGGCCCAGTGGGGAGGATCTGTTTCCAGACAGGCCCAGGGTGATGTAGCTTGTCTCTTTGTTTAGCACTGTGAGTATAAACTGTCATTATTAATGGGACATGAGCACAGATGTGCCTTTCTATACAGAAAGAGGATGGCAGAGAAATCTGTGGGATTTTCTCCCAGCGCTGTCCAGAATCAGCCACCCTGTTTCCTTCAGTGATGACCGATTTCCTCTGTCGTGGAAAATATGGCCAGGAGTCCTTATTGTTATTCCAGTAAAATCTGGAGTGCAGCACAATCAACTAGTTTACTGCATAATGTTCCAGGTATAGTTTGTTTGCAGTCCTGGGGAGGAAGTTGCATCTTTTTACCTTGACGTTAACACTACATATACTATTGCAATACTCTATATTGCCATAATTATTTACTCGCCCATCTAAATAATTGAATTCAGGTGTTCCGATCAGTCTCCTGGCCACAGATGTGTAAAATCAGGCTTGTCAGCGTACAGACTCGAAGAATCCCAGCGTGCTACTGTGATTGGATGTTACCTTGCAACAGGTCCAGTCATAAAATGTCCTCGCTACTGAATACGTCGAGCTCAGGAGGCAGAACAGGTCAAGTACTAATCAGAAGGTTCGTGGTTTGGCTGCTCTAGCCGCCATGTATCCTTGGGCAAGACGCGAAGCCCATGTTGCTCATGAGATGCATCCATAAGAGTATGAATGTGTGAATGTCAGACAGAGAGGACTGATGTAGACAGAAGTGCTTGTAGGAATTGTAAAAAGCTCTTTGAGTGTAAAACCCGAACCGGCCTGTTTACAGAGACGGCCTCTTTTACTCCTCTTCCAAACCAAAATTAGATTAGATTAGATTAGATAGAACTTTATTAATCCCTCGGGTGGGTTCCTCTGGGAAATTCGATTTCCAAAAAGCACAGCACCGACAGAAGTTACAGAGTTACAGAATATTATATATATATATATATATATACACACACACACACACACACACACACACACACACACACACACACACACACACACACACACACATATAAATACAGAGACAATATAAATAAAATATACGAAGGGGATAAATAGAATAAATAGGAATAAAAAATAAAAATACAAGTGAATGAATTGCACATTTCGAGTATTGAGGTCTATTGCACTGTTGACTATTTACAAAAGTATTGCACAAAAGGTATTGCACAGTGAGGTGAAGAGGCACTACAGCTTAGTTGTTCCCCCCTCCTTTGTCCTCCTGTTTCCCCTCCCTCTCCCCTCCAGAGAGGAGTTAAACAGTTTGATGGCGTGTGGGACAAAGGAGTTTTTAAGTCTGTTAGTTCTTGTCTTGGGGAGAAGCAACAAAAAATGTGGCATCTTCCAAAGAGTAACCTTTAACCTTTAGGTGCAAATATACTCTTGTGTGTTGTGCCATGCATTTATAGAGTGGCTGTTTGGTGCGAGCACTCCCAGCTGCACTGTACAGGATGCACTATGTTGTTGCTCCCAAACACTATGCCTGCTACTCTCCACCTTTTAGTTTTAAAACTGCAGAGCTCCTACAGTTTATATAATCTACCAGTCAAGATGACAGAAGTTTGCACCGCACCTATTGATCTTTGAAATCAGGTGTTTTTACTTCCTTTGTCAGAAGTGCATAAAACGAAGCCCCCAGCCATCCAGTGTACCTTTACAAACATCTGGAAGAATGGGTCAGTCCTGTAATATGATGCCGTAAATCAGTCTGCTCTCCCACAAACAAAGATAAGAGGTATCATCACAAAATGGAAGCGTTTAGGAATCACAGAGTGGCACACCTCAGAGAGTTGCAGAGTAATGAGGTGCCTAATACACTCAACAAAAATATAAACGCAACACCTTTGTTACTGCTCCCATTCCCCATGGGATGGACGTAGAGACCTAAAATTCATTCCAGATACACAATATAACCATCCCTCCCAAACAGTGGTCACAAATCAGTCCAAATGTGTGGTAGTGGGCACATCTGCTATATTGAGATAATCCATCCCACCTCACAGGTGTGCCACATCAGGATGCTGATCTGACATCATGAGTAGTGCACAGGTGTACCTCAGACTGCCCACAACAAAAGGCCACCCTGGAATGTGCAGTTTTTTGCGCTATTGGGGGTCTGGGGACCCAGAACCGGTCAGTATCTGGTGTGACCACCATTTGCCTCATGCAGTGCAACACATCGTCGCATGGAGTCTGTCAATTGTGGCCTGTGGAACGTTGGTCCACTCCACTTCAATGGCTGTGCGAGGTTGTTGGGTATTCGTGGGAACTGGTACACGCTGTCGTATACGCCGGTCAAGCACATCCCGAACATGCTCAATGGGTGACATGTCCGGTGAGTATGCTGGCCATGCAAGAACTGGGACATTCTCAGCTGCCATCTGCCCTGAACAATGTGAACCATGATTCATCCGTGAAGCGCACACCTCTCCAACGTGCCAGACGCCATCGAATGTGAGCATTTGCCCACACAAGTCTGTTACGGCGACAAGCTGGAGTCAGGTCAAGACCCCGATGAGGACGACGGGCATGCAGTTGAGCGTCCCTGAGACGGTTTCTGACAGTTTGTGCATAAATTGTTTGGTTGTGCAAACCAATTGTTCCAGCAGCTGTCTGGGTGGCTGGTCTCAGACGATCTTGGAGGTGAACCTGCTGGATGTGGAGGTCCTGGGCTGGTGTGGTTACACGAGGTCTGCGGTTGTGAGGCCGGTTGGATGTGCTGCCATATTCTCTGAAACGCCTGTGGAGACGGCTTATGGTTGAGAAATGAACATTCAATGCACGGGCGACAGATCTGGTTGACATTCCTGCTGTCAGCATGCCAATTGCACACTCCCTCATTGCTTGTGGCATCTGTGGCATTTTGCTGTGAGACAAAACTGCACATTCCAGGGTGGCCTTTTGTTGTGGGCAGTCTGAGGTACACCTGTGCACTACTCATGATGTCAGATCAGCATCCTGATGTGGCACACCTGTGAGGTGGGATGGATTATCTCAATATAGCAGATGTGCCCACTACCACACATTTGGACTGATTTGTGACCACTGTTTGGGAGGGATGGTTATATTGTGTATCTGGAATGAATTTTAGGTCTCTACGTCCATCCCATGGGGAATGGGAGCAGTAACAAAGGTGTTGCGTTTATATTTTTGTTGAGTGTACATAAATTCTGCCTACCCTCTGCTGACTCAGTAGATGCAGACTTTCATAAATGCATCTGTGATGGATGTCCACGGCCAAACGACCGCTGTGGGGTTAATGTGTAGGTCGGCCAGTCTATCTCAAGTCTATCTTATACTCCATCATTCAGCACAATATTCATACAAAATCATTCATACAAAATGTATTAATATTTTTTAGTACTAATCATTATTTTTGACAACCGTCGCTATTAATATGTTTATGTGCCCATGTAAACACCGTTGGCTGACAGTTTCAGTGCAAATGAAACGCTGCAGCTGAGCAACAAGCTTTGAAACGAGACAAGCAAAAATCCCTCATTTGAACTTTGTCATAAAGTTTAGTTTATGACAAAGAAAATGATTGTTTTCATAACAGTCCGTCAATGAGTCCTGTACATGTGTTAAAATCAGGGTTGGACACATATTTGAGCAACATATATCTGTTAGACTGTCGCTTTCACAGCACAAAACCTTTGAACCAGAGTATTAAAATGAATCACAAAAGTGATATAATACGCAGTATTATTATTAAGCAGTAGCAATAATGCTATAATGAGTGGTGGCCCCATGATCGGAAGGTCGGGGGTTCGATTTCCCTGAATAGCTACCCTGAGGTACCCCTGAGCAAGGTACCGTCCCTACACACCGCTCCCCGGGCGCCCAATGGCTGCCCACTGCTTCACTGAGTGAGAGGAATTTCCCCACGGGGATCAATAAAGTATACATCATTATTATTATTATTATTATTAATAATAATAATAATAATGATATTAATAATAATAATAATAATGAGTAATCCTAAAACTATAGACGATGTCAGAAACACAGCTGTGGCAGTGAGTAGAGCAGCACCACCTCCTGTTGTTGGAGTGAAAGGCCGATCCAAAGATACCCTGGCAGAGTCAAAATAAGCTTCGTGTTAAGTCCTGCAGGGGTTAAAAGCCTGCAAAGGAAATGAGAACACTCTGGCTGTAATTACTAAACTCTAAATGCAACAGTTTTGTTAAACTAGTTGAATTAAAGTTGAGAGCGTGCACTTCACTCTCACTGCGATTGTTGGTAGTGTGCAGAGGCAAGACTACAAAAGCAGACTGTGCAGATACGTGTTAGGATGAATGGAGATGCATTCGAGTGTAGGAGAATATTAATGTCAGGAATTTTAAAGGCAGTGCGTCTGACAGACTCCTGTTTCTGTGACCTTTGACATGGGCAGAGCTGATTGCTGCAGACGAACTGATTCTTCACTCTCTATTATTCCCATTATGTAGCCTAGAAGCTGTGTCTTTAAGTATTGTTGCAGGCTGCCTGGCTCCCTTAAAGCCGCTAAAGATTTCTCCAGTTGTGAGTGGGGTCTGCCAATATCAACCGAATAAATTCCTGAAAGGATTCATGAATAATATGAAGTGGGCTAAGAGAATTTTGAGTGCAGTCCTACAATTGCTTCCACATGATAGTTTTGAAGGACATGAGCGCTAAAGTTTGGTTATTTCATGGCAGTGTGATCTCTCAGTTTCACATGTAACCCTCTACTTAAGGAATAAAGCACTCACAGAATGCCTGCAGGACGCAGTTTACTGACATTGGGCTGCTCTCCAGCCATTATGCTTCTTAAAGTTTGAAACAAAGCACTTATTAGATCATTGAACAGTGAAACTGCCGTAAATTGGACTCAGGCTCCGTCTAACAATGAGGAGTCGTTATAAGCAGTTTTGAACTTCAGCACGCTGAAAGTTTTCACCCTTATATAACAACCTTAGTTATGCTCATGTGACACATTTGCCCGTTTACACGATAACTAAAGTGGACACCAAACTAACAGGCACTACTGAAGCAGTGGTCAGAATCACAGTATCTTCATAACATCCCCTTCAACACCTGTTGCAGGCATCTAAATGCCTTCCTGGCATTCGTCTGCCAGTAACCAACACCAGCGAGACCCAAAGCTGTGATGTCGAGAATGTACTCGGATGGTTGTGTATTTTGTTCAGTGTCAAATGATATAAGCATTTAAAAAAATCAAAGCTATTCAATAAAGTCTGATTTTCACAACAGTCACAAAACTTTCATTTTTATGATAAAGGTTTTGTGATGCTACCTACCTACCTATTGATGTGAATTCTTTTTGTACACACGATAGCAAAACGAGCAAGACATGACATGAAAAAGGGACCAGTAGCTCATGTCACGTCAGTATTCATGCAAAGCCGGTTGCTGTGTCCACACGGCGTGATTGATAGTCAGAGCCAACCCCCTATCCTTAACTCATCCCAACCCTAAAGCTGGAGTTGCCACAGCTGACTTTGGTGAGGTTTGGTGATGACCAGTGGAAGAAATGCTTCAAATAAAGTCTCTTATGTATGAAAATGCTGCATTGTTACATTTTTCAGAGAAATCAGAGGTAGTTGATCAGAAAAATGTTCTGAAATTTGATGATTTGAGATGAATGACCCTACAGATTCTTTGAAATAACTCACACAAAGTCTCTTGTGAGCAGATGTTGAACTGAGCTGAGCTATCGGGAGCTATTGTGGTGAATTTCCAAACCGAGTGGGTGAATCCACTCAGCACGATTAGCTTAAATTCAGATGAACGTCTGGTGCACTTGATAAGAACACCACAGCTGTTCTGCAACAGTTCAGCATAATGCATTCATGTAAACTCAAAGGACCACTATTAACTGTGCACCTGGTATTTTCATGCAACCTTTCAATAAGATGAAGTTAGTATATCTCAGCTTGCAAGATGTTTCACAGACGTTCTTGGAGCTGTTTGCTTGGTTGCTAAATTTTAATGACCTGGGGTTATCTCTGTGCAGCTAACCAGCTGGTTAACCTTCGTTATGTCTGTTGTAGAGTGACGGGGAAATGCCACACAACTTGTCGGTTGTCACTGCTAAGGAGCTTGGAAAATATACTGCTAAACTATTTCCTGTACGATTTTTAATTTTAACTTACTAACTAGTCTCACACCGTTTGTCGTAGAGATGCTGTTCGAGCGGCTCTTTTGTGCGATGAATGCTTCTATTCAGATTTTAAAAATTTTGGACAGTTCCTAAAATATTCCAGGTAAGGTTGTGAATTCAAGTAGAGCATGGATGCTTTTAAGGATCAAGCATGGTAGAACTGTATGCTCTGTGGAATGACACCACAGTAATGTAAAAGCACACTGCGCCACTTTCTTAGGTACACTTGCAGGGTGCTTCAGATTGTGTGTGGGATTTTGTCTGAGGGTGTAGCTGGGTGCACTGGGATGTCTCCTGATAAACCTGCTACATAAGGAACATGTTGTCTGACTTTCTTCCCTGTGCATCTTTGCTGATTTGTTGAAGTTGTGAGTTTTACGAGTTGTCTTTACATGTTTGTCTTTTCTTTTCCGTATGGTTTAGCAGAAATGTTTTCTGCCTGACGTTGCAGGGTCCTGATTACCCCAAGTTTGTGTTCCACAGGGTGGGGGGACTCAAATATTAGGTAGTGTTCTGTGTGTGTGGGCTTCTGGTAAACTTCAGTCGTCCTCAGTGCACACAAACTGTACATCTTTGTGTCTTCCCTGGTGAACTTTATATGTCAAGAGTTGATGGGAGCAGTGAAGGATTTTACTTATTGGGTTTTTATTTTTGAAAACAGAACATCTTTCCCAGTGGTTAGGTGCTGTCTGCTTGAAGGAGCCAAGGGTGTCACTTTCCACTTCCTCCATGTAAAAGTTGGCTACAATGGGTTACAAAAGTGTGGTGGTGAGGCAGTGCTGTAACAAATCTGACTGGGGGTACAGCTGGGTCTGTTTTCTAGGGAACTGTCAGTTATCTGATGGTCTCCACTGCTTCAGGTATATAAGTGATGAGACCACATCACTATGGAAGGACACCATCTGGATTCAGCTCAAGTTTGCAGAGCGTCAGTCGAGTGTTTGATGTGATGGGGTGTGCTCTCCATGAGGGGATTTAGGATGTTGGTGATGTGCTTGGAAATGTTGCAGGTGGCTGAGTTAATCCTGCTAACAATAGGTCGACTTATGTTTAGATCTTCGCTATAGCATAAGGTGGTGGTCTGTGGGGCAGTCAATAGCTCCCCCACCCTCAAGTTGTTGTAGACAGCTGATGACTTTTGTTTTTGTAGAGGCTTTTTTTATCTCATCTTCAGACTTCATAAGAATGGCTGTCACTGAGAACTGCAGTAGTTTCAGTGAGATATTCAGTTGAGTGAACAACAGTAACCTTCAGTTTAACATTCCTCTGTTCTTTGTCTCACACAGAAGCTTGCAGCGCGACTACCAAAGACGCGGGATGTGAGAGAAGTTTCCCACAGCTGCCTGTGTCCCCCAGGTACGTTCCTCAGTTATTCACTTATCCACCGGTTGCTTACTTTCTGATGGACTTGATTTCATTTGTCACCGTTATTCAACATAAGAAACTGCAGCTTACTGTAGCTTCATAGTTGTTGTTTTGATATTGCTGTTATTGATACTTTTATTCTGCGTTGACAGTGGACATCCAGAATATGACGCTATAACATGTGCTTTCATTAGTTATTAAGAGAAGCTTTTGTTATTCAGCTTCATGGACGTAATGCTGATAACTAGCTGTAAGTAAAACGAGGAGCTGCAGAGTTTCCCAGCTGGGATACAACCTGGACAGGTCACCAGTGTATCAAAGGGCACCTGCAAGCATCACCTTAAATTACTAGTATAGCTCTATAAGAGGAGACAGTTATTTGTACAAAGGCTTAAATAACTGCCCACTGTCGAGGGTACAAGGGTAGTACTTTAGAGAGTGATTATCTTGCCTGAAAGTACATTAGCTACTTTATTTCCTGAGAGTGTGGATCTGAACTATTGCCTTGTTTTGAGTAAACAGTAAGGTCTGGTGTGTTTTACTGTGGTACAACTTGTTGTCCATCTGGAACTTTGGTCTTGTGTTCTTCAGCCTAAAGCATCTAAAAACAGGGTTGAAGGTGAACGGTGAAGTGTATTTGGAGCTCAGCGGGCAGCCAGGAACTTTCTATGTTACATCATGCAAACCTATGTGGCATCATTGAAGCACTTTCACATGGAAATGGTTGTGGTAAAAATCCCATACCTGAAACAGTCTAGTTATAAGTTGGACAGGGTGTCATTCTGGTTCTGAGAGCCTTCATGTTGTCAGTTTATTTGTTAGTCAGAGCAGACACACCAGCTGCTGTGACTGTTTATCAGGAAAACCGACTAATTCAGCCACAACTGTGGCAGAAAAGTGTTTAGAAAAAAAGCACCTTCAGGTTCAGGTTATTCTGAAATTGCCCCATTTATGCATTTATTCCAGCATCTTTGTTTAATCATGTGGGTTTTTAGCACGATTATCTGTAAAAATGGCTGCACTTTCCTTACAGTTCTTGCATTAGTATTGTTCAATCCCTTGAAGGAAAGCTAAACACATCTTGATTGTTTGACTTAAAGTCCAGTGTGGTGGTCTGGAGAAGCATCACTACAAAAACATATGGACTAAACTATAGTTAGTGAGCTTTGAATCCATGTATAGCTGCCACCAGCTCGCTGGAAGTCACCCTGTCTATTTTGCTGCATGGATTTTGTGATATATTCACATATATATGTGAATATATCAGCTGATCCAGCACGCTGGTGCTCGTGTTCTCACTAGAACCAAGAAAATAGAGCACATAACTCCAGTTCTAAAGTCATTACACTGGCTCCCTGTAGCTCAGAGAATAGACTTTAAAGTGCTTTTATTAGTGTATAAATCCTTGAATGGGTTAGCACCAGAGTACATTAGAGATCTGCTGTCATGGTACAAACCATCCAGATCAGTTAGCCCCTCCAGCTCTCGTTTACTGACCGTCCCCAGAACCAGAACTAAACATGGAGAAGCAGCTTTTAGTTTCTATGCTCCTCACATCTGGAACGCACTATCAGGAGAATGCAAAGCTGCAGAGACACTGAACTCTTTTAAGTCTAAAATTAAAACCTACTTATTTAGACTTGCTTATGAGTAACTGATCCTATTATGGCTCTCTACCTGTTTGTTTTTGATTTTTCATATAAGTTATTGTCTTGATTATTGTTTTATCGTAAATGCTTTCTTCTAAATGTTTTTCTTGTATTTTTACCTTTTAAAGTGATTTATGTCCATTTTATGTGTTTTATTTTAATCATGTAAAGCACCTTGAATTGCCTTGTGCTGAATTGCCTTGTGCTGAATTGCCTTGTGCTGAATTGCCTTGCTCTACAAAGCCCCCCCCCAGTGTCCACCCGGTGCCTGCCACTCAGCACCAACCACATATCCACTACATCCAAATGGCTGCCATGATTTGATTATTTTCAGGGCCAACTGAGAGGCAGAACTCGGAGACCTAGATGAAAACAAACAAAAACATATTCTTTAATCCCAAAGGGCTCAATTTTAGGCCCACTGCTCTTTTTACTGCATGTATTGCCTCTGGGTTCCATCCTTAGATGGCATCAGATCTCTTTTCATTGTTACACTGATGGCTGCCAAATGTATTTAGGATGGATCTCCATAAAACCTCTCTTGACATGTCTAGATGACATTAAAGCTTGGTTTTATTTTCATTAACATTTAAAAAGCTCAAAGCCAACAGAGGTGCTGGTGTTTGGACCCAGTGGTCCCTCTGAGTCCTCCTCTGCAGAACCTTGGGACTCCTGGAAGTTTATTTTAAACGGTGATTTTAAATTGGACAGCCAAATTAGAGCAGCAGTGAAGTCCAGTTTTTATCATTTAAGCTGACTGTCAGCAGTGAAATCTTTTCTTTTGAGGCAGCACTTTGAAACAGTGATCCATGCTTTTATTTCTTCTTGTCTGGACGACTGTAACTCACTTTATGTGGGGCTCAGTCAGTTGCTCTCACGTCTGCAGCTGCACGACTGCAAACAGGAACCTGTAAAAGAGAGCATACAACCTGTGCTGGCCTCACTGGCTGCCTGTGTCTTTTAGAGTTCATTTTAAAAATCTTATGATTGTTCTTAAATACTTTCACAATCTTGCCCCACCGTACCTATCTGAGCTTCCTCATCCCTACATCTCTTCGTCATGCTCCTGGAAGTACGAAGATCCAGGAGGAAGTTCAGAGGGGGCGGGCCTTTTCTATCGTGGCTCCTAAATAATGGAATAACTCGCCCTTGCATGTTAGAGAGGCCCCTTCACTGTCCACTTTTAAAACATGTCTTGAAACACATTTTTATTCTTTGGCTTTTGGCCTCAGTGAGACTTAGTTAATAAGTAATTTAATTACAAGAAAAAGAACTAATTAATTATTTTACTTTTTTCTTTAATTTGGCTTTTATTTATATCTTATGTATAAGTTAACTTATGTATAAGTGCCTTATAAATAAATATGATGATAATGATAATCCGAGTACAGTGTTTAAAATTAGTATTGCACACGTAAATATATTTCTAAAGTTAACCTGAAGTTCTCATCAGGTGTTGGTAACAACCCATCCAGTCCACACATGCAAAACATTAAACCATAGATGTCCATAAATTAGGTGATGTGTAATAATGAAATATGACGCACAGGAGAAGTATTAAACACAGTTACTGAAATGTATGTAATACCTACAGAAACCAAACACATGGTGAGTGAAGAGCGGTGAGAGGAGAATTACTCCATCATGGGAAGGCCTCAGCAAAACAAGCTGATTTTAACATAACCAAGGGTGGGTCAGAAGTAAGCCAGCAGACTGAGAGCAAAGTGCTTCATTGGGGTGCACTATAAAGGTGTTTAGGATAGCTAGGCATGATTATTCAAGACCTCATATGTGAAAAGAAGGACTTAAAATTAGATTCTGCATTTCACAAGGAGCCAATGAAGGCCAGCAGATATCGTCAGACACATTGCTAATGGCTAAATAAGCCTTTTATCCAGAGTCTGAATGTTCAGTGAGAGTCTGGTTTACTCTCCAGGGGAAAATGATCAAGGAAAATGTGCATATTTGAACATCAGAGTGTCTATTAATAACGATCAAGGATAAAAACAACAAAACGGAGAAGGAATTCTGTTTACCGTACTGTTTACAGCTGAGACAAATAATGACCTCATCAGCGTGTCAGAGCACAGTTTAGATAATGACAAGCCCACAAACAGACTATCCTCACTTATCTTTCTATTTCAGGTTCATTTTTCTGTCTTTAACACCTAATGTGTCATATTTGATACCTGCGCTTTTGTCCGTTTTTGAGACTTCTGCATCATTAGTGTGATCGGCAGTCTGAGTTGCTTGATAAATAAAACTATATACGATACGTGCCGCCTCCTTGAGAGGCTCCTTTTAGACAATGAAGAGTAGAAGTTACAGAATCCAACGCGATAATGATAAAGCATTGGCATGTCACAAGTGTTGGATTCTGTCTTTTTTGTTGTACTCTGTAATTAGTTTTGCAGTAAATTTAGTGTTTCCTATACATAGATCATACCTGGGAGAGCTGTGGCTCAGGTGGTAGAGCGGGTTGTCTACTAAGCGGAAGGTTGATTCCTTAGTCTCCTGTCCAGATACCAGAGTATCGTTGGGCGAGATGGTGAAACCTAAGTTACCCCCAGTGTTCCACTGGCGTGTGAGGTTGTGGGACTTAGAAAACCTTTAGGCATACATACATGTAATAGCTGTATGGATGTCTGTGTGATTGAGAGCTGTTAGAACAGTCGTAGAACAGTCCCTTCTTTCTTATTTTGAAACTGTGAGACAGTCAGAGCACCAACCAGAAACTAAAGCTGGTCCAGAGCTGGTGTCCCAGTGCTGTGGCTTGCTGCAGTCCAGAACAGTTTAGTTGGAGTTCATCTGTGGGATTAGGAACTTATTATTTATCCATTAGTGTTTTTCCTCAAGTGTATATTATATTATCATTTATTTATGTAAAAGTTGATTGGGGATTTTTGTTGTCCTTATTAGTAGTATTGGCAACTTTTAATTATTAATAAAAGGCTTTTATTCTGAACATAAAGCTTTCTCCTGACTTTTGGGAACATTGTGATCACTTACAGGTGAAATAATAACACTCATTAACTCTTCATTGTGGCACCTGTTGAAGGTAATATAATAGAGAAGCAGAGAAATGGGCAGGCCTAAGGATCTGAGTGAGTTTGAAAGGCCAGATTGTGATGAATGGGTGAATGAGGAAAGTGCTTTGAGTCAAAAGTGCAAAAGGATGCACAGTGGGACCGAGGCAATGTGATGTTTTGGGCTACGTTCTGCTGGGAACCCTTGGGTCCTGCCATTACTATTGATGTTAGTTTGATACGTATCATCTACCTGATATTTGTTGCAGACCATGTACACCCTTGAATAACAATGGTTTTACCTGATGGCCGTTGA